CTGCCGAGCGCGTGGCGGGCGCCGGCCGCGGGGAGGAGCCGCCGAGTGGGCGGGGCGGGATGGAGGAGGCACGGCTCGCAGCTGCACGCTGCTGACCCCTGTACCCGCCGCCCGCCTAGCCTCTCTGGCTTCCTAGTCCCTTGGTCCCTGACCTATCTGTGCCTCTTCTCCCTTTCTCCGTGCGCACCCTTGTCGCCTGCTGGGCCCTGTGTCTCCCTGTTTCTCGGCTTCTTTTGCCCTGAGTCTCTCTGTGCCGCCCACTACCACCACCACCTAGACCTCTCTAGCCCCCGCCTCTTCTGCTCTGACCTTGGTGACACTAAGGACAACTGAGCCAGGGGACAGGCCGGCTGGGGGCTCAGCTTCCACCGCTGGGAAGTGGCTGTTTGGCCCCTAGAAATCCGCTGGTTCCCCAAAGTTGAGGGAGGGTATGTCGAAGGGTTGAAGGAGGGAAGGACTAGAGGAGAGGCTTCCGTTCTGCCCAGGTAGAGGAATAGGCTACCCTCCACGCAGGGACACGAAATGACCTCACAACCCCAGACAGGCAAAAGGAAGGCCTGCACATACACTCTGACTCCATGGGGCTTGGAAGGGGCTTATTACCTTTCTCCACCCGTCCGTGCTCTCTACCTCTAGACTTCATCTCCTAACCCAGTCTGTTCCTGAACTGGTACACTTTCCTCTCTGGCTCTGTCCCCTGGGTTCCTGGCTTTGTTTATCTTCCTGCACTTACACCAGTTCCCCATCATCTACCCCAGCTTGTCTGTGCAGGGTGAGCTTCAAGTCACCCCCCGGGGTTACTAAAAATCCAAACCTGGTGCCACTCTCAGCCCTGTTTCTCTCAATGCAGGTGGAACCCAGGCAGGTGGAGTTTTGAAAAGTTTCCAGGTTCAGAGCCACTGATCTGCATTATTGTCTACATGGAGCCATCATCAACTTTCATGTCACTCACACACCTGTGGTTCATCATCTCTATGTGTTTCTTTGTACGTCTCAAAGTGTTCACTATGTATTTCTATTCACCTGTATTGATCATTGGCTTACTTACCAGTGTCTGTCTATAGCTGAGTATGTAATTCATTTAGCCAGCATCCAGCCCTATAATCTTTCAGCAGCCATATATCAATATAATTACATGCTCATTCATTTGATAACCACATTGAGCACTGTTAAAGAAAAAAATATTCACGATACTTGTTAAAGATGGTAAGGAAGACTTTATCCAAGAGAGTCTCTAGTGCAGTGGAGGGTTTGCAATAGGGAAGAGAGATTGGGCTCAGCTCCAAATACAATAAAGACAAGGGGGAGGATATAGTTCAGTGGTAGAGCACAAGGTCCTGGGTTCAATCCCCAGTACCTCCATTAAATAAATACATACATACATACCTAATTACCTCCCCACCTAAAAAAAAATGAAGGAAAAAAACCCCCAAATACAGTAAGGACAAGTGGAGATCTATAGCCAGTGAGCAGAGTGGGGGTCAGTGAGTGGAAAACAACTAAGAGGGAACATAGAGGCTAGTGAGATTCTTGCTGAAGGCAGGCCAGGATGATAAGATATTCAGAATGGAGGATGAAGAATTTGATCGATGGGATTTTGCTAAACTAACCCCGCAGGATCCTTGCTAAAACAAGACTCTACATTATGGAAGCTCAAGGTTGAATGGAGTCGAGCAGAGGGCTCAGAGGAGCCTGACTCAGGTTTGGTTAAGCACCAACTGTGTGCCAGGCACTGTTCTAGGTGCCAGGGATACAGTAGTGGACAAAATAAGGTCCCTACCTTCTTGGACAAACAAATCCTGGGAAGAAGAACAACAAGGAAAAGAGCAGAGAGAGCAAGATGTATGTCCCAGTTACTCCTGGTCTTGTAGCTGTCCAGGTCTGTATGTTTCATCTATTTATTTATCTTTCTACTTGACTATTGCAGTTTTTCTGATAGCAATGGCCAAAATGTCCTAAACCCACGCCAGGCCCAGCACTGAGCATTTTTAAGTGAATAATTACCTAAGATCCTCATAACAGCTCAGAAGCCATCATCATCCTTATTTTGAGGGTGAAGAAGCTGAGGTTTAGAGAAGTTAAGTGATTTGCCCAAGGTCAAAGGGGAGGAAGCTATGGGTTTGGCCCCAGACCTAGCCAGTCCAGTGGTGGAACCCGTTCTCTTTTGCTCTGGCTCCCACTTCATCAGCTGCCATTCTCCTTTCTCTCTGCCATATTAAGTTAAGGATGCCAGGTTCTCTTTTGCCTCTCGATCACATCCCATGCTGTTCCTGAACACTGCTTCCTCTTCTCTCTGCCCAGCTAATTCCTGATCTTCCTTTAGTTTTCTGTTTGGATCTCTCTTTCAGGAGTCTCTCTCACCTCCCCATGGGAGCACAAGTGTACCCTTGAAATCCCCACATTCCTGAGTTTCCATCATTAGAGCAATATCACATAAGACTGTAATTAAGTATCTTACATATATCTTGTCCAATACTGTGTCCACCATGTATCTTGTCCACCACTGCGCTCCAAACTCCAGTCAAAGGGCTGGCACATAGAGATATCAGTTATTGAATGAATGAAAGAATGTGACCTTCCTGATAGTTACATTTTAAAAACTTACAATTACACATTTTGAAAACTTACATGTGTTCAGCTTTTTGGTTATGAAAAGGCGCCATTGTGTTTAAAAATAATTTTTTAATGACTTTTTTTGTAGAGAGGAGTAATTAGGTTTACTTTTTCATTTATTTTAATGGAGGTACTGGGGATTGAACCCAGGACTTCCAGTATGCTAAACATGCGCTCTACCACTGAGTTAAACCCTCCCCGCCGCCACGCACACGTTTTTTAAAGCGTATAGCATCCAGTATTCCCAGGGTGGTTTCCCATCCAAGTATAACCAGGTCTGAGAGAGCTTCCAAGATCCCGTTCTTTCAGGGTGATATGGCTATAGATTCTGCCCCCGCTTTCTTGTGAGCAGCACCAAAGCCCTGTTACTCAGGCGAGGCAGGAATTCCTTTCCCATTTTACAGAGGGGTAAATTGAGTAAGCTTCAGAGAGCTGAAGTGGTAGAACTTGATTCCAACTCAAGTGGCCCTAATTCCAAACCCAGTATTTAGTGCAAGGCACAGTGGCGGTCAGAATCCAATCACTCTCAGCTCTCAGGGAGACAACCTCTGGCAAGGGAGGCGTGGTACCTTTGCAAACAAATCCTGAAGGTGGAGCGGCAAGTGTTTAGGAGGATGCTATGGGATGTCAGAGACGGTGGTATTGGAAAGTGGGCGCTTGAAGGGCGAGAAGAACTTGTCTGTGTGAGACCAGCGGAGGCAGAGGGACCAAATACGAGGGCTCAGACAGCCGACGCTCCCTTCCACAAATCCCCTTCTAAACCTGATTGTTCCGCCTCAGTCCCTTTAAGAGCGGCCCCGCCCTACTCAGCCACCGAGGTCAATCTAATTTCGATAGCCAATCACAGGAGAGAAAAGGTCACTTCCGCGCCTCAACCGCACTTAAGGGGCAGAAGAGAGAGAGAGGAGGGGGCGGTGAGGCAAGATTGGTCACGTGACCCACCCAATAGTCTAGAGGCCGAGGCGGTGCAGAAGGGGTCGGTGACTCTCATTGGCCAAAGAAACCTTGGCTCTGCGTGAGGCCACGCCTCCTATGGCCCCGAGGTTGGTTGAGCGGGCGCCGGGGAAGGAGACGCTGCCCTTCCGCAGCGATGGGATCTTGGGTGAGTGGCGGCGGCTCGGGCTGAGCCAGCTGGGCAGGCGGGCGGCGCGGCGGGGTCCGGGACAGAGACTTGCAGCGAGCGGGAGCCGACGACTGGGTTGGGGCGCAGGTGTCCCTGTTCAGCTGGACTAGAAGGGCCCAGGTTGGAATGAGAAGGTACTCCAGCCGTGGGCTGCGCGAGAGGTGGAACGGTAGGTACCCAGTCAGGGAAGAGATTCCCGGACGTGTAACATTGCAGAGATCGGTGCAGGGGCAGGTACCAGACCCAGACTGGGAAGGTACCGAGATGGAGGAGCGAGCGCGCCGGCCGTGGGCAGCGCCAGTGGGCATTTGGACGACTCTCAAGGATATTGCGGGGGTCGGGGCAAGAGAGGAGAGGTCCTGACCAGGGGCTGCTCAAAGAGTTGTCCGGAACGGAAAGAGCGGATTCTGAAGAAGGGGACCCTGCTGAGATCCAGTGTGGGAGTGCTCAGTGCCGGTCTGGGTCGGACTGATGAGGTGTCCCTCCAGGGTAGAAGGAACGGAGACTGGACAGAGAGTGGCTCAAGGGACATTACTGGGGTCAAGGCGGAATGAAGGGTGCTCAGGCTAGAGTCATTCAAGGCAGGGGAGGAGGTGCCCGAGATGGAAAGCGTGGGCATCCAAGCTGAGGGATTGTAAGTGCTGTGGTGGGGGTGGAAATGAGGTTCCCGCCCAAGGTTACAGGGCAGGAGAGATGACTTCCCCAGGTGGGGAAGGCTTTGAGAGTGTCCACGTGGTGGGGAACATTGCCATGGGAGAAGAGGTGGAGGCCTGTCTCATTCGGCCCTCGGTAGTGCCGGGGGGCTGAATAGGGAACGGTTTGGGCTAGATCTGGATCCATCCCTGGAGTGAAGCAGTCTTGGGGGCGGATGTTGTACTCGGCACCTACCACTCTTCTTCAGTGGGGGCAGCAGAGGCTGCTCTTGACTTTTCTGCAGGCAAATGCCAGGCCACAGACCTGTCTCACTCCTGAGCATGTGTTCAGGCTCATCTTTGCAACTCCAGGTGGGCTTCTCACCTGGGGGTCCAGAAGTCTTGCAGATGTGCCGTGGAGGGAGAGGTGGCTGTTGTAGCAGGCAGCACAGGGGAAACAGCACAGCCTTGGGGTCTGCCAGAGCTGAGGTCGTATCCCAGCTTGGCCATTTAGTCAGTGACTTCCGTCAGGTTGATTACCTCTCCAAGCCACAGTTTTCCCGTCGTTGAGGTAACAGTGCTTGTTGTGAGTGAGGGTTCTGTGAACAACTAGACTCAAAAGCCTCCTCGCAGAGACTGTTCCAAGCCTAGCCTGTTAAAACAAGTGCTTGGGAAACAGTAGCTGCTGGTCCTCTGAAGTTCTTGTCTCCCTTTGTTCTGAGGTTTGGGCCAAGTTTGCGGGGAGTGTGTGTGTTACAGGGGTGGCTTATGATATTAACTCGGGCACTGACCACTGGAGGTCACATAACTCAGTTTGCAGTCTCCTGGCAAGAAGCCCTTAACCCTTGATAACATGAGTTTCCTCGGCCCTAGAGCCTTTCCCTGCCTGTCCCCCAACCCTGCCCCGACCCCCCAACCCCCTCACCGCTGCCACACACACAGCCCAGCCCTAGAGCTAGACTGATAGGATCCTTCATCCTTCCTATTAACTGGGGATAAGCTGTTTCTCGTGCTGGTCTAGTGACTTTGGCCGCCGTCCCAGGTGGATAGGGTCTGTCTGGCCTGCACATTCCTTCCATTTGAGTTCCCAGGAGACCTTGAAGGCATCCTTGGGCTTGATGATGACGGTTGGGGAGCGTTCTGCAAGATCTTGGAGACTGGGTTATGTGTGCTCAAGCCACTTATTTACTGGCCTTGGAATGGGGCCATGGGGTACCCTGGGGGTCTCCCCAGGGGGAAGTTGCCCCTGTCGTCTGCGGTTCTGCTGGGGCTCCCACTTCCTGCTCCATATCAAATATGGCAAAAAGACTATACTGAGCACAGAGTCTGAAGTCTGACAGATCTTGGTCCAAGTCCTGACTCCACCTTGTGCCAGCTGTGTGACTTTGGACTCCTGATTTAGCCTCTCTGAGCCTCAGTTTCCTCATTGGAAAGTGGGGAGTGGAGGAGATAGGTCGAATCTACTTCACAGAATTGTAATAATTCAGTGAAATAGCATTTGTAGGGGACTCAACACAAAATACATGAAATACACATGATGTGTAGTAGCTTTTATTATTTGAGGAAATACGCTGCTGTTTTCATAATACTGTCCTCAGGAAGTGCAACATTCTTGGCTTTGTGGGAGGTCAAAAAGATATGATGATTCTCAGGTGGGGTCCTACCATTTAGAGGCCTAAGATTTTTGTTTAGCATGTTTAATAAGTTTGAAAACCTGCGGCATAAAGCCCCAAGTGTGAGAGCTTATCCAACTTATCCAACTTATCCAACTCCCAGGCTCTGGATCTGCTCTTGTGCCAGCGTGCCAGGGACACTGCCTTCTGCTGCCAGAGCTCAGGGTGGGCAGAGGGTCTATGGGGCATTTGGCTGTCTTCCTGCTGGCAGGTGCAGAAGGCTGTGGCCTTGTTCCAAGCTTGGCATTCCAGACGTAGGATGCTCCCGCCTCATCCCCCAGGGCACTCTGCATTTCTGTGTGCTCACATGGGCACGTCCTTGTGGCTGACTTGGTCATTCTGTCTCTCAGCTCCTTGGAGGGACCTTCTGTTATGTGTGTCCCTGTCCTTTTGAGGCGTGGAAGGTGCCCAGGACCCAGCCAGCAACCAGTTGAAGACGTTCTCTTTGGAAGAGAGCCCCACGGCCTCTCGCTGGGGGTGCTGGTCCTGTCATGGCGTTTCGGAGGACTGAGGGCATGTCCATGATCCAGGCGCTGGCCATGACCGTGGCTGAGATCCCTGTGTTCCTATATACGACATTTGGACAGGTAAAGATGGTGTGGGTTGTGGTCCTGCCCTATACCCCCCTGGTCCTTGAAACACTGAGCCACTCATCCCAGGGTCCCTTAGAATCCGGGAAAGCTGGACCCTTCTGATTGCTGTCCCAGGCATCTGGTGTCTCCTCTTTGAGCAGAGTAAGAAGGACTGGGTTAGGAGTCTGAGGTCCCAAGCCCAGTCTTCACCCTAGGACTATGTGAACTCTGGACCTCATTTTTCTCAGTCTATAAAGGGGTTAGTAAATGCCCTCCCTGCCAACCTTAAATGTTTGTGGCTGACCATGCCTCTTGACACTTCCTGAAGCTCTGCTCTGTGGGATGCAGCCTCACCCGTGGGGCTCCCAGTCCAGCAGGCAGAGTGAGGGCAGAGCAGGGACATGTACAGATGGACCGTCGGGTGGAGTGAATATCATTGTCTTTGAGTTGTTGAGAAATGGGGTCAGCAGACCTGGGTTCAGTTTCTGCCTCTCTGTCATCTTGAGCATGTGTCCTAACCTGTATGAGCCTTGGATTCCTCACCTGGAAGATGATGGACATTCAGTTCAGACAGGTAACACAGGTGAAATCCTGGTGCAGTACCTGGCATAGGTGCCCAGTCACTGCTGCCGGTAGAATCCTGGCTGATGGTGTTGGGGACACCTGCCAGACTCCAGACATGATCTCCTCGGCTGTGTCATTTTGCCATCCTCAGTTCCCCTCTTTACATCTCTGTGGTCCAGAGGTTTCAGAGGGGCTGGTCAGGTCCCCCCACCTCAACCATTCCTGGTCAGGAACTATCCCCTGAGGGCCTGAAGCGTTCTCTGCCTCTCAGGTGCTCCCCAAGGCAGCTCTCCCGGGGAAAGGTAATGGCTGCCTCCCTCTTTCCCTGCAGTCTGCATTCTCCCAGCTGCGGTTGACGCCAGGCCTGCGGAAGGTCCTCTTTGCCACAGCCCTGGGGACTGTGGCCTTGGCCCTGGCCGCCCACCAGCTGAAGAGGCGTCGGCGGAAGAAGAAGCAGGTCGGCCCCGAGATGGGAGGAGAGCATCTGGGCACGGTGCCCCTCCCCATCCTCATGGCCAGGAAGGTTCCGTCGGTGAAGAAAGGTAGGGGTGAGGTGGTGGGGACGGGCCTGACCTGGAGTCGAGTCTCAGCTGGGCCCCTATTAGCTGGGATCTCAGGCTAGTGAAACTCTGTTGCCAAGCCAAGTCCCCCTCACCTGTAAAGCAGGTCATTGTAAAGAGTTGGTGGGTGATGCGTCCAGATGCACGTGTCCAGCCGGAAGCAGTGGTTCTCATTATCTGAGGGCTCTGAGGGAGAATTAGGTACAGAGGGGGCTGGTGGGGCGCAGCTCCTCCATCCAGCAAAGGGAGCCCCTGGTTCAGGAGCAAGAAGGGCCACGTGGTCCCTGAGCCATCTGGTACTCTCCCCACCTGCCTCTTTTTTTACATTACAGTTTACTTTGCATACAGTACAATTCCCCCATTTTAGCACACAATTCTATGAGTTTTGACAAACACATATAGTCAGTCATACAATCACTACTGTAGTCGAGAACTATTGCTCTTAATCTCTCCAGTGCCCTTTGTAGTCAGCCCCTCTCCCTAGCCCCTGACAGCCAGTGATCTGTTTTGTGTCCTCTGCTGTGGCTTTATAAGCCTCTTAGAGTCCCGCTAATCTGGTAACCCCGCAGCCCAGTGTTTGCCACATCCAGATTGCTTTCCCACAGGCTCTTATCTTGGGAGAAACCTGTTTAAAGAAGCAAAATCTCCCCATGTGACACTGAATTTTAATTGTGAATTACCATTGCAAAAGGGAAATTTTGTCTTTTTAGTCCAGAAACGTTTGCAGACTAGTCTAGAGCAAGACCCTGAGACATGCTAACATGGCTGAGTTTCCATTCTGAGTTGGCCATCCTGCACCCCCTACCCCTGGAAACCTAGAGTTGTTTCTGTACCAACCTCTTGCTTGCCTGCCTTGTACCACCATCTCTGGTTTCACCTTATTTTGCCTTCCCAACTTTTCTCACTCAAAAATAAAAGTCTGTGTATTTTTAAAAATTTGCTGCCTCAAATCCTTTTTGGAAGGAGGAGAATTCCAGATCAGTCAGTCAATCAACAACATAGGGAAGGCTGAGTAAGAAGGAGGTGGAAATAGCTGGGCCTTATTCCCAGGCTTATCCCGGCAGATCCAGGCCCCTCCGGGTCAGTACTCTGCTGCTAGGTGTGCGCGCTGGGCGTGCTCTGCTGTCATCCTGACTTAGAAGTCAGGACAGGCTTCCAGATGAGGAGGAGGGGAGAGGGGTCTGGAGGGGAGAAACAGCCCATGCAGAGGCTGGGTGCAAAGCCCGTGTGACCCCTACCCTCCTATTCCTCACAGGCTACTCCAGCCGGAGGGTACAGAGCCCCAGTAGCAAGAGCAATGACACTCTGAGCGGCATCTCCTCCATCGGGCCCAGCAAGCACTCAGGCTCCTCCCACAGCTTGGCCTCGGTGAGGATATCAGGGTGCTTGTCCCGCTTTGGGGCTCCAGCCTCTGCCTTCAGGGGGCTTATGGGCTGGTAGGAAGATGGGAGAAGGGATTCCATTCACTCATTCATTCACTCACTCATCCATCCATCCCTGCAGGCTCTCAGAGATTGTCACCGATCACTATGTGCTGGGTATTGGTGAGAAGGAGGTGGATAGGTGCAGAGGAGAAATTTATGGTCTCTTGGGAAAGATACTTATCCATGAAAGTTCGTTCATTCATTCATTCATTCATTCATTTATCAGACTGAGCAAGCACCTGCTCTGTGCCAGGAGCTACTAGGTGCTTTGGCTAGAGACAAATAAGACAAAGAAGTATATTTTCTCTCGGGAAATGCCTTTGGCTCATTCACCCATCCAGTTATTTCTTAATTCATCCAGCAAGCACTGAGCCCCAGCTCTGAGCTGGGCACTGCCCTGGGATCTAGGCGTGAGCACAAGATGGCTCTCATCCTGGAGGAGCCCACAGCCTGGAGACAGGTGTTGGCCTCAGTGCCTCCTCCCGCTTTGACTGTTTCTGTGACCCTCCCTCAGGCGTTTGGAGTTGGTGGCACCAGGCTGTCAAGGGCTTGGCCACTGTGGTGGGGGGCTAATTTCAGGGATGCTGTTGGAGAGGGCATATGGCATGTGGTCAGGCAGTGGGGAAGACTCGGGGTCCTGCCAAGGATCTGGGAAGTCCTCACTCCTTATTCTTCGGTGCTACTTGGTGCCCAGATGGTGGCGGTGAACTCATCCAGCCCCACAGCTACATGCTCGGGACCATGGGACACCAGAGGGATGGAGGAGTCTGTGACCAACAACGATGGCAACGCTGAGAGCCTCTACATGCAAGGTGCAGGCCAGGAGGCTGGCCTCGGGCTCCCCCGGGGCAGGATGGAGGGTGGCCTCCTCCCGGGAGCCCAGACTGGATTCTCTGGGTGCTGCTTGCCACCCCACACTCTTACCCCAAACCCTGGTTGAATAGTTTCCAGCTGTTTGTGGACAGGGGATACTCTCCAGAAATAACTCTGGTCTGAATGAAGGCCTGCAAACTGGCCAGCCCTGAAAAAGGGGTCAGGACCTGGTCCACATGGTCCTGCCCATTCCCATCCCTTGGGGCCCTCTTCCCCCTCACTCTTCTGAGCCCCATCTTGAGTGACATCGAGTGGGCCCGGATGCTCTCTCTCTGCGAGGGGGCCTGACTCTCCCTTCTCTCCCCACCTGTCCCCAGGCATGGAGCTGTTCGAGGAGGCTCTGCAGAAGTGGGAGCAGGCACTGAGCGTGGGGCAGAGGGGGGACAGCGGCAGCACCCCTACACCGGGGGACAGCCTCCGGAACCCTGAGACTGCTTCAGAGGCACTGTCTGAGGTAGGAGGACCTCCCTGGGTCTTTCCTCCTCCCAGCTCCATGGGGAAGGTGGGGGTGTGGCAGAGGGGCGGCCAAATTTGGGAGGCGGCTAGCAGCCTTGCCTCCTGCCAGCCCGTAAGTTCCCCTTGGGTGGGCGTTTTCCCCTTAACCAGAATGTTGATCCAACCAAGTAAGAAAATTCATGTAACGTGCTTAGCACAAGCCTGGTACTTTCTCAGGAAACCACGATGATTACAACGTGATCCTGACTATGTGAGGATGATATGCACTTCTTTTTTTTTAATGGAGGTACTGTGGATTGAACCCAGGACCTCGTGTGTGCTAAGCATTCACTCTACCACTGAGCTATGCCGTTGCCCCCTGAAAATATGCATTCTTGAAGAGCTGGAGGGAAACAGCCTGTATTCATAGTTGAGTGGAACATGTGGTCTTTATACATTTTTTGGCTCAGTCCGAGTTTTCTATAATGAGTATTTATTATTTCAGTATCAGGAGAGAGAAATAAGGTACAAAAGCTAAAATAAAACATTTTTTTGTTAAAAACATGCCTAATATATGTCATAGGATGAAGGTTCACTGAAGCATTGTTTTGTAATAATTAAAAAACACGAAAAACTGGAAACTCTATTAAATGCCTATCAGTAGGAGTCTGGAGTACTACGCAGCCCTTATTAAAAGGCTGACAGAAAGCTGTGGGCTGATAGGTTGCTTTCTCTACTATATATTATTAAATGAAAAAAGGAAGATGCAGGATTTGTATAGTGTGACCCATGTATACATTTTTTATCGAGATATAGCTGATGTACAATATTATGTAAGTTACAGATATATAACAGTGATTCATGACCCGTGTGTACGTTTTAAAAGACAGTTGTCCATCCCTACGTATGCTGATTAGTAACTGCTGATGTGGACATGCACTTTTATTTCCCTCTGGACAGATACACAGGAAATTGTTAATAGTGATCTTTGAGGAGAGGATCTGCAGGGAAAGGTGCAAAGAGTCTTCTTGTACTTTTCTGTGCCTTTCTTTACTGTTTGACTTCTCACTTTGGGCATAAGCTCTGGACAGTGTGTGTATAGGTGGTAGTTATTATGGGCTGTTTCTGTTTTAGTCTCTATACTTTTCTGTATTTAAAAAACCAAACATGAGCTTTCGTCTGCCATGAGGAGCGAGGTCAAAGTGGAGGCCGTCTCTCTGGGGAGGCCAGGAATGGGGACAACTTCAGGTGTTGGAAAGGGAGGGAGTTGAACCCGGGGAAAACGTTGCACAGGTGAGTGAGTTACTGAAGGACCCCAGAGCTGGGGTGGTGGTGCCCAGAGCTCAGGAGTCAGGAGCTCACATCACAGAGGGGCCTGACTCGGGGCGGGAGTGGTGGGTTGGTGGTGTGAGGCAGGAAGAGGAGGGGAGAGGTTCTCACCAACCCCTTGTCCTCTTTCCTCCACCTGTGCCTCTGTTGGCCGGCAGCCAGTTGGCAGGGGAGCCTAGGAGACAATTTGCAGCACAGGGTGGGGACATGTCTGGTACAGCAGGTAATAAATTGGAGCTGTACTGCCTTCCACCCCAGCTGGGGCATTCTCTCTGAGGCCATCACAAAGCTATGACCAGTGTGGTTGGAGGTCGTGGCGGCTGGGGAAGTGCATGGGGCATGACAAAGCTTTCAACGCTGTGTCAGGTCCCCTCTGCTCGTGGGCAGACAGCGGGAGTGTTAGGGCAGGAGGAGGAAGGGAGGTGACTTTGTTTCCAAAATTGTGTTTATTGCTCCTACTCCATCTTAAAGTTATAAACCTTTCCTTGTTTTTCTTTCTGTGAAAGCAACAAAATGTTCCTTAATAGAGTAGTGAGAAACTACAGAAATAGAAAAAAGGGGAAAAAAGAGCCCAGGCTCCGATCAGACAGCTCATGATGGTGTGATGTGGGCAGAGGCTTTTCAGCCTCCCTGCGCGCTGGTGCCCCTCGGCAGGGCACCAGGACCAGGGTTCTGGTCCACACAGGTGCTCAATAAATGATCTTTGACATCGGTATTATTGATACCTATTACCCTTCATCCAGGCACAACTACTTGATAACCTTCCAGGCTTTTTACTATGCTATAAGGATTTTTAATAACTATTGAAATATAATTCACATACCATAAAATTCACCAAATTAGATTGTATGGTTCAGTGGCTGTTAGTGTACAGATTTCTCCTGCCATCTGAAAGTAGAGCCTTCCTGTGAAACTGTTCTTAAGCCAAAATGACATCAAGAGAAGTAATTAATTACCATAGGACACAGCTTCCTAATAGATGTGCAAAATTCATCAAGATAAAACACAGATGCTTACAGACAGTTCAAAGTTACAGGGGCTGGATGCTGAGAGGCTGGTTGTAGTTCCCCGGGAAGGAGCTTGACAGTGTATGTTATATAAATAGCTCAATGCAAAACATGCTGAGGGGGGAGGGTATAGCTCAGTGGTAAAGTGCATGCTTAGCATGCACGAGGTGCTGGGTTCGATCCCCAGTACTGTTAAATAAATAAATAAACAAAAATCTAGTTGTCCTCCCTCCAAAATAAAAACAAGCAAATGTTGAATGCTATTTTCAATTTTTGCCTTTTTTATAAAAGTGAAAATACCCTCTTCAGATTTCTTCTTGGGTATATACCTAGGAGTGGAGTTGCTGGGTCCTATGGTAACTCTGTGTTTAAGGTTTTGAGGAATTGCCGAAAATTATCCAAAGCAGCTGCACCATTTTATATTCTCACCAGCAGCGTATGAGAGTTCCAGTATCTCCATATCCTTGTCAACACTTGCTGTTATCTGACTTTTTGATTCTAGCCATCCTGGTGGGTATGACGTGGTGTCTCACTGTGCTTTTGAGTTGTTTTCCGCCGATGCTAATAATGTTGAGCTGCTTTTCATGTGCTTATTAGCTGTTTGTATATCTTATTTGGAGAAATGTCTATTCAGGTCCTTTGCTTTATTTTATTTATTAAAAATATTTTATTTTATCTTGTCACTTTTTAAATTTTTGTGGGGGAGGTAATTAGGTTTACTTATTTATTTATTCAGAGGAGGTACTGGGGAGTGGACCCAGGACCCTGTGTATGCCAAGCGTGCATTCCACCACTTGAGCTATACCCTCCCCTCCTCCTTTGCTTTATATTCGAGATACAAGTCCCTTATCAGATAAATGATTTGTCCGTATTTTCTTCCATTCTGTTGGTTATCTTTTCACTTTCTTGATGGTGTCCTTTGAAGCACAAAAGTTTTTAAATTTTGATAGTAAATTCAGTATATTCTTTTTTTTTTTTGGTTCATCTGCGTCATATCTAAGAAACCATTCTCAAACCCACAGTGACTTCACCGAGACAGAGCTGGCAGATCTCTACCGAGCTGCAAGGCTCTGCTGGCCACAGTGAGCTGGGGTCTGGCCCTGTCGGAGAATTGAGCAAGGTGACCAGCGGGTCTGGGGACCCACGGGGTCTGCCAGGCTCTAGCTGGGTGAACTGGGCCTCTTAACCTCCTTGAGTTTTTCTTTGTGTAATGGGGTCACAGTAACCGCTGTCTTCAAGGAAGCCCTGAGGGTGAACAGTGAGGTGCTGGTCCAGGCCTAGTGCTCAGTGAGGGGAGCCGCTTGCATCATTACTTTCCCCCTCCGAGTGCTTCCGGCTCTTCCTCCCCAGTGGCCTCAGGCCCGAGTTGGCCCTTCTTTCCTCTCCAGGGTCTGGTTACATGCAAGTACAGGATCTGGCAGCCCCCGTGGAAAACAGCGTCAGGCCTTCCCATGCCTGGTCCCTTGGCCCGGCAGCCCCTGGGGTCAAAGGAGCAGTGCCCCCTTCTTCCCGCACCCCAACCTGGAGGCTGAGGGCCGCGAGGAGGTCACTGAGGCCACAGGCTGTGGTGCCATGGGTGCGATACCTTCCCAAGTGCACACAGGATAGCAACAGTGGGGTTTGAACCCAGCTCTTTCTGGCTCTGAACTGCCCTCTTGTTATAATAACCAACACTCACGGGCTGTCACCGTGGGTCAGTCTTGTGGGAAGTACTTTGTATACCTTGTCCATGTTTCTTCTAAAATCCTAGGAATTAGGTTCTTTTACCTCAGTTGACAGATAAGGAAACTGAGGCTCAGAATGGGGGAGTTACTTACTCAAGGTCACACAGTTCTGGAACTGGTGGTGTCAAGATCTGAACCAGGTCTGCTTGGGTCTAGAGCAGCTCTGTTCAGTGGGAAGCCATGTGTCTCATTTAAGATTTTCTGGAGATCATGTTAAAAAGTAAAAGAGAATGGGTGAATTGACTTTTAATAATATATTTTATGTTATGAAATATTATCATTTCAACATGTAATCAAGAATGAAAAATCACTGGGGTACTTCACACTCTTGTATTCTTGGGGCTTTTTGGGGGGATCCTAAGTGTTTGAATGTATACCTATGGCCCATGTCAGTTGGGATTGGCCACAGTGATGACAATGGCATTTCAAGTACTCACTGGCCGCACGTGGCCAGCAGCTCCCATGTTGGGCAGCTCAGGCTAGACCTGCGCTCCTGCTGCTGGGCCTCAGAGCCGTCTTCCCCAGGGGCTGGGACCCCATCGTGGTGAGGGAAGGGGCCAGCTGTTGGTGTGGGGAGCTTCTAGGGCCTGGGTTGACCATCACTGTTTTACTCACAGCCTGAGTCACAGCGAAGGGAGTTTGCAGAGAAGCTGGAATCCCTGCTGCACCGGGCCTACCACCTGCAGGAGGAGTTTGGGTCCACCTTCCCATCCGACAGCATGCTGCTGGACCTCGGTGAGCAGGCCTGGGGCGCAGGTGGCGGATGGGGGCCGCGGGGAAGTGGGCACGCTGCGAGAGAACTGGGCTGGGACTCCCTCAGTGCATCAGGTGAACCAGAATCCCCAGGCCCAGAACCTTGTCCAATCAGTACCTTATTGCACCAACGGGGAAACTGAGGCCCGACCCACAGGTTCAAAGCTGGGATGAGGCCCCTGTCCTCGGGGAACCTGGTCCCATCCCAACGAGGGATGCAGGCCTTGGGGCTTGTGTGTCAGCATCTCCCTTGACAGCTGTTCCAGGCCTTTGGTTTGCGCCCTCTCCTGTGGGCGCTGGGCGGGCAGAGGGGTGGCTCACATGGAGATTAGCCCAAAGAACACAAGTGCTATTGTCTGCCCCACTGAGGTCAAGGGCGTGACATCACTGAGAGGGAATGAAGTTATTCAGCCAGAGTGCTCGCTGTGTACCAGACCCTGTGCAGTGACTGGCCCCCAGGGCCCTTCCCTGGGTGCTGTCAGCCCTGAGGGGGGACATCAGACTCCTGAGTGTCGTGCTCCCCGGCTCCACCAGTGGCAGCTCAGGCCCAGCGAGGGCCAGCTGAGGTGACACATCCTCCACGGTTTGTCCCTGTCGGAGCAGTCCTCCTTCCTCTGGCCTCCCCACGTGGCAGAAAAGACTGTTGGGGCGTTCAGGGCTGGAGCCTCTGCTTATTTGTTTGATAGACCTTTCCTAAGCACCCTTGAAGGTCCAGAACCCCTCACCCTTGAGCAGGCGGGGATGGCAGTGCTGAGTGGCCTTTTGGTATCAGTGGCTGAGTGTCAGAGAGGAGGAGACACTTGCCTAGGGCCTCACAGCGCAGCCTGCCCTCAGAGCTCAGGGGCCTCAGGCCTCAGGGTCCGGCGGCCTTTGCGCCTGTCAGCATCATCCGCCCAGAATTGGGAGTCTTGGCATATGTTTACCACAAAGCTCGGTGATCTCAGGAATCTCAGCTCAGCCCCTCTCTTCTGACTCTGCCCAGAGCGGACCCTCATTCTGCCCCTGACCGAGGGCTCGCTGCGCCTGCGGGCGGACGATGAAGACAGCCTGACCTCAGAGGATTCCTTCTTCTCTGCCACCGAGGTGATGTGGGTGGAGGGGATGGGCGTGGGGGAGTGGGGTAAAGGCAAGGGTCCCTGTGTAGCTCCTGGAGGGTGCAAGCCCTGGGTCATGGGAAAGTGAATGCATTTCCTCTGATGGGAGCAGAATTTGGCAGTTGCCAAGTGCTGCTCCCCGGGGACTCTTCAAAGTTGCTGGGGGACCAGGAAGCCTGAAAAACCAGGGGTCATAGGTCCTGTGAGTGAGGGCAGGGGTCCCCGTCCCCAGTGGCTACAGCCCACACTGGCCTCTCCCTTCTCCAGACTGTGTGCCCATTGCTTGGCGTTAGTTTCCTGCCATGGCCACGTGTATTAGGCAGCTGTCCTTGTCTGGGGTGGGAGGATGTGGGTGTGTGTCCAGCAGGTGGTCCTTTTGGGAAGGGCACCTGGAGATGGGGATGCTGAGGCCCAGAGTGGGACTCAAACCCAGGCCTCCAGGCCTCCAGCCCTCCAACCAGGGTTCCCTCGGACATCCCTTCTGAGAGGTTGGCCCCTAGGGTGTCCCCTGCTGGCAGCTCACTGGGTAGGCGCCCTTGCCCCCCGGGATGCTGCTGACACAGGCTTCATGCACCCCTCTTTCCCAACCCCGCACCTGCCCCCAGCTCTTTGAGTCCCTGCAGGTCGGAAATTACCCAATCCCACTCTCCAGGCCTGCTGCCGCCTATGAGGAGGCCCTGCAGCTGGTGAAGGAGGGCAAAGTGCTCTGCCGGACCCTCAGGTGAGCGTGGGGGAGGAGATAGGTTGGGGGGGCCTGTCCCCTTGGAGGAAGCTGGAGATGCCAGTGGTACTTGGTGAGGACTCAGCTGGGCCAGGCTGAGGATGGGGTGGGCTGGCCATGGCTTCTGCCCTAGCCCCGGAAAGCCTAGGATGACCCCAGTACAAGGCAGGCAGGTCTAGAGTTAGTGATCACAATAACTAGTTAGTATGACGAAATAAAATAATCGTTTGTACTTGTAAGTTCTCGGGGGGTCCAACCACAGAAGCCCAGTGGGCGCTGTTCCTAAGCCTTGTGCTCTGCACAGCCCTTTGAGATGCGGTCCAGAAGCCAGGCTTTGGGAACAGACAGATGTGGGCTCTCTCCAGGTCCTGCATGTGGCCCTCGACAAGTCTTCTGACTTCTCTTAGCCTCAGTTTTCCCCTCTGTGGTATATTTAGGGCTCTTACCCATTTCAAGTTCATTGTTCTGTATGACTCCCAGATTTAAGGATATGTGTTTAAAGTTCATGGACTGAAAGTGGCCGAGAGCCCCAGTTGAAGCCTTGGGGATTTGGATGAAGGGCCCAGATCAGGGTGCCTCCAGGCACCCCAGGAAGCCTTGCCCTGGGATTGGGAGCAGTTTGGCCATGTTGGTCCTTTGCCAGGGAGGATCCTTTGCTGGTTGGGGCCTAAAGGAGGCTGAGGTCAGCCTGATCCCCAGCGACTACACCTGCCAGTGGCTCAGAGAGTATCCTGTCAGCCTCTTCCTTTGGTTTGGGGGACACTGAGGCCTAGAGGAGGGCAAAGCCCTGCCCAAGGTCACACTGCCACGTGGAGGCAGGGCCACCCAGGGCTCCACCCTGACTCCAGAGGGTGTCGCTGGGCGGGGCCCAGGTTGGGTGACGCTCTGTGCTTCCCCGCAGGACAGAACTGCTGGGTTGCTACAGTGACCAGGACTTTCTGGCCAAGCTGCATTGTGTGCGGCAGGCCTTCGAGGTGGGTGTGGTCCAGGGGCACCTGGGGAGGATGGAGCCTGGGGTGGGAGCAGTCAGGCAGGCGCCTCTGCCCACATGGCTCACCTGCCCAGCCCCTTGCTCTGCCCTCTCCGTGGCTTCGGGGGACTGCTATCCCAGCAGCTCACCCCCTCCCTTCCTCACTCCTTAGGGCCTTCTGGAAGACAAGAGTCACCAGCTCTTCTTTGGAGAGGTCGGCCGGCAGATGGTGACAGGCCTGATGACCAAGGCTGAGAAGGTAGCAGGGGGTGGGGGCTCTCTTTTCAAGCTTCCTTTCCCCTACCTTTAAAATTGTTTATTTTTCTAACATTTATTTAGTTCTGTTAAAAAAAAAAAAGAAAAAACCCAATCTAAAATCAAGCCACAGAGTTCTGACTTCATTCTGCAGGCCATAGGAAAGTGGGGAAAGAGTGGGTTTTTTCTTTTTCTTCCTGGGCTATTTTGAAAAAAAATACCGATCCGTATTGCCTTTTATCTCTGATTACAATGTAACAGAGTTTTATAAAGTTGACCGAGTATGAGATGCAAACCATACAAGGTCTCCCTGAATCCCCTCCTGCCAGAGGGAACTGCTGCCCACGGTCTGATATATATTCCTCCTACTTAGTTCCAGAGATTTTGATCTCTGAACACTGCAACTGAATTTCCAAAGCTTGGTTTGTGTTCTGTGGGCTGTTCTGCCACTTGGTTTTGTTGTAGAAGAGTGTATTTTGTCCATCTTTCCGTATCAGGAGATGCCTTAGTTGTGTAGTGTTCTGTCAGGTGGGCTGGCTGTGGTTAACCTGATCCTTCTGTGGATGGGCCTTTGGGTTCCGTCTGATGTTTCCACTACCCCAGAGACGACCATTACAATCAGCCCATTACAGATCTCTTTAGGTACCTGTGAGCTTTTCTAGGGGGCAAAGCCCGCATGTGGCAGCGCCATGTCTTGGGCACAGACGGGTGGCAGATCCTGCCAGTTTATGCTCAGGAATGCCTTCACAGCTTAAGTCCCTGCCGGCACCGTAAGGCTGTCTCTTTACGCCTTGGCCAGTACTGGGTGCTAGCACAGGCAGGCTTCGTTTTACTGTGCTTCACAGTTTTTTACAAATTGAGGGTTTATGGCATCCCTGTGTCCAGCAAGTCTATTTGGCACCATTTTTCCAATGGCATTGGCTCACTTTGTGTCTCTGTGTCACATTTTGGTAATTCTTGTACTATTTCAAACTTTTTCATTATTATCGTATTTGTTAATAGTGATCATGATCTTTGATGTTACTATTAGAGCTGTTTTGGGGTACCACAAACACCCATATAAGACAGCGAACTTAATCAGTTTAAGTGTTGTGTGTATTTTGACTGCTCCACTGACTGCCATTCCCCCATCTCTCTCCCTCTCCTTGGCCTCCCCATTCCCTGAGACACCGCAATATTGAAATTACATCAGTTAGTAAGCCTACAATGGCCTCTAAGTGTTCAAGGAAAAGGAAGAGTCGCTTGTCTCTTACTTTAAATCAAAAGCTAGAAGCTCAATGAGGAAGGCATGTCAAAAGCTGAGACAAGGTAGACCTCTTGTGTCAAACAGCCAAGTTGTAAATACAGAGGAAAAGTTCTTGAGTGACATTAAAAGTACTACTCCAGTGAACACAGAATGGTAAAGAAAGCAAAACTGCCTTATTGCTGATAGGGAGGAGGTTTTAGTGGTCTGGATAGCAGATCAAACCAGCCACAACATCCCCCCTAAATCAAAGCCAAATCCAGAGCCAGGCCCTGACTCTCTTCAGTTCTGTGATGGCTGAGAGAGGTGAGGAAGCAGCTGAAGAAAGGTCTGAAGCTGGCAGAAGGTGGTTCATGGGGTTTCAGGAAAGATACAGTCGCCATAACATCAAAGTACAAGGTGAAACAGCAGGTGCTGGTGTAGAAACTGCAGCAAGTTAACCAGAAGATCTAGCTAAGAGGATTAATGAAGGTGGCTACACGAAACAACGGATTTTCTGTGTAGACAAAACAGCCTTCTATTGGAAGGAGACGCCATCTAGGACTTTCATAGCTGGAGGAAAGTCAATGCCTGGCTTCAAAGCTTCACAGAACAGGCTGACTCTCTTGTTAGAGGCTGATGCAGCTGGTGACTTGAAGGTGAAGCCAGTGCTCCTTGACTGTTCCCAGAATCCTAGGGCCCTTCAGAATGATGCTAAATCTACTCTGCCTGTGCTCTGTAAATGGAACAACAAAGCCTGGAGGATAGACCATCTTTTTTATAACATGTTTACTGAATATTTTAAACCCAGGGTTGAGACCTACTACTCAGAAAAACGATTCCTCTCAAAATATTACTGCAGGGGGTAGAGGGTAGCTCAGTGGTAGAACACGTGTTTAACATGCACGAGGTCCTGGGTTTAATCTGATGGAGATGGACAGTGAGATTCATGTTGTTTCCATGCCTGCTAATACAGCATCCATTCTGTAGCTCTTGGATCAAGGAGTCATTTTGACTTTCAAGTCTTATTTAAGAAATAAGTCTTAGAAGATTCTGATTGCCATACAAAGTGATTCCTGCGATGGTTCTGGGCAAGGTGAACTGAAAACCTTCTGGGAAGGATTCACCATTCTAGACGCCATTAAGAACATTGGTGATTCATGGGAAGAGGTCAAAATATCAACATTAACAGGAGTTTGGAAGAAGTTGACTCCAACCCTCCTGGGTGACTTTGAGGGGTTCAAGACTTCAGTGGAGGAAGTAACTGCAGGTGTGGTGGAAACAGCAAGAGAACTGGCATTAGACGTGGACCTTGAAGATGTGACTGAGTGGCTGCCATCTCATGATAAGACTTGAATAGATGAAGAGTTGCTTTTTTTGATTTTATTTTTTGAGGGGGGTAGGTAGTTAGGTTTAATTATTTATTTATTTTTAGAGGAGGTACTGGGGGTTGAACCCAGGACCTTGCATATACTAAGCATGCGCTTTACCAGTTGAGCTATACCCTCCGCCTGGGGTAGTTGCTTCTTATAGATGGGCCAAGAAAGTGTTTTCTTGAGATGGAAGCTACTCCTGATGAAGATGCCGTGACGACTGTGGAAATGACAACAAAGGATTTAGAATATTACATAAACTTTGTTGATAGAGCGAGGTTTAAGAAGATGAACTCCAATCTGGAAAGGAGTTCAGCGGGTAAAATGCTGTCAAACAGCATTGTGTGCTACAGAGAAATCATTCATGAAAGGAAGAGTCAGTCGATGTAGCCAACTTCACTGGTGTCATATTTCAAGAAATTGCCACAGCCACCCCAGCAGCAGGCATCGCCATCAAGGCAAGACCCTCCTATCAGCAAAAAGATTGACACACCAGTGGCTCAGAGGATGGGTAGCATTTTTTAGCAATAAAGCATTTTTAAATTAAGGCATATACATTGTCTTTTTAGACACAATGCCATTGTACACTTATTTGGCTACAATATAGTTTAAACATAACGTTCATTTGCACCGGGAAACCAAAAAATTCATCTGACTTCGCTTTATTGCGATATTGGCTTCGTTGTGGTTGGTGGTCTGGACTGGACTCACAGTATCTCCGAGGTATGCCTGTAATCTTTTTAATCTTCGCTTTATCCATTGGTTTATGTTTCTTTGATTATTTATCAGGTTGCATAACTTGTCATGTTTCTTGGCCACTTGTGTTTCTTTTCTTTGGTGGGTTTGAGCAAAGCTCTTGAACACGCCTCTCCCTCCGAGTCCTGTCTCCTCGGTAATGGTTCTAAAACGCACCTCTGACACGCCTGCCCCCAGCTGCTTAAACTCTCCTGTGCGCCCCCTGCCCTTGGTGTGAAGCGCAATCTCCACCTTGTGGCCTGTGCTGGCTCAAGGCTCCTAGAGAACACCGGACTCTCTCCCTGACCTGGTCTCTGCGTTGCTGGCCCCTCCAGGCCTGGAACACTGTCCCTCAATTCTTTTGTTGTTGTTGTTAACTACTTTATTGTGAAATACACATACAAGACTATAAAAACGTATCTATAGGATTTAATGAAGGAAAGGATGAACCCTGGTGTACCCAGCACCCAGATTAGGAGGTGGGACACATAGCAGTATCTGAAAGCCCCCATCCCCCACTGCCTCCTTGGTCACCTGCCTTCTGAGTCCCAGCTCTTTCCCCAGGAGGGCCTCCCCTAACTTGTCCCCTGGGGCCTGTGAGCCCCGCCCCACCATGGTCCCCTCACTCTGCATCCTCCTCGTTACTCACGAGGGCCAGGACCACAGCTTTCCCGGCTCAGGTGTGTGCCCAGGGCAGCTGCTCCATCAACACGAGTACAGCTGGCCCTCCGTATGCACGGGTTCCACGTGTGCGGGTCTGCGTCGGTGGATTCAACCAACTTGGATTAAAAATATTTTAAAAAAAACTAAGAAAATACCAACAAGCAAAACTTGAATTTATCATGCACCAGCAACCATTTACATAGCATCCACATTATGTCAGGTGTTATAAGTAATCTCGGGTGATTTAAGGTGTAGGGGAGGTTAGATGCAGATACTACACGCTTCTATATAAGGGACTTGAGTATCTGGATTTTGGTATCTTGCTATTTGAACCGCTCTTTTATGGATTCTGAGGGACAACTAATTATTCTCCCAGAAGCTGCCATTTACCAAGCAGCAAGCTTGGCGCTTCACTCATGTTTTGTTACCTCTGGTAGCTCCTGACCACGGACTCCGTCCACTTGGAAACCAAGCCTGAGGCAGGGCAGAGCCAGGATTTGACCCGGTCAGCCCGACCCCAGCCATGCCTGGAACCTGTTTTCTGTGGCCTCCCCAGGAGGGTGAAAGGATGGACAAGAGAAAGAAAGGACAAACAGGTGGCAGGCACTTTGTGGGCGGCCGCTTGCTGCAGCTGCTCCCTGAGGACCAGAGGAATGGCTTTCCTCTTTCCATCCTCTGCCCCAGTGCAGGACTTGGCTTCACTTTTGTTAAAAAATTAAGAAGAGGCTTGGCTGAGTGTTTAGCAGCTCCTAAGTGCTCGAGCCCGCGCCCAGCCCATGTCTGGAGCAGTAACTGACACAGCCCTGTCGGGTCTTCCCTGGCCGGGGAGCTGGGGCCACCCCTGTCTCAGAAGGTGCTGGCCCCTGGACTGCACCCAGGCTCTGGACTTGTGGGATCAGGCCGCCTCCTTGCTGTGCCCGGGGCCAGACGTGAACCCTCCAAGCCTCAGTCCCCTTCGTGTGTCAATGGGCATGTCCTGGGTACGTATGAGATAATGTCACACGTGTTCAGCCATCATTAAAAGTGTCCTTGAGGGCCAGCTCTTACCTTCACTGTCATGGACTTCTACGTATGAGGAAACTGAGGCTCAGGGAGGTTAAAGGACAGCCCAGCATCATCCTAGCAAATTCTCTTTAAAGCTTAATAAAAATAGCTTTTTAAAAAGATTATAAAAATGATTCATGCTCGTTATAGAAAAAATGAAGATGACACAAAAAAGCAAAAAGATAAATTGTCCCCAGCCCCACCCCATTCATATTTTAGTGAACATCCATCCAGTGACCTCTTGCCTGTGGTTCTTTATAAATGGCATCAACCTGCCCGTGCTGCTCTGTTCAGCTCCACCCAGCCTGGCTCTTTGGGCACATCACCAATCTCCTGAAGCCTCAGGATTCATATCTGTAAAGTGGGCACAATACTGAACCATTCCTCATAGGACTGTATGAATTAAATGAGTTGATCCCTGTTGTGTACTAGCTTTCCACATTCAGAAATTACACTTGCGTCTGCAAATTGTGTCATAAGCCCCAGCTCAGCCTCCTGGTCCCAGAGAGTGAGGAATTCCTCCTGTGTGCTGATCATCTTTGTACCTGGTGGCAGCAGTCCTATACACTATTTATCGCCTGACTGTGTTACAGGAACGAGTTCATTGACTCCCCCAGAACAGCCCTCATATGGGGCTATAGCTTTTCCCATTTCACCAGTGAGGCTGAAGTTCGTGGAGATTTGAATCTTTGGCGGCTAGCTCGACCTCACACATCTTTCCAAAGTAAGCTCCTGCTGTAGCAGGTGCATGTCTTCTGGAAGGCGGTTGGTGCTCAGTAATGGGCTGGAGTAAGATGTTCTGGGCACCTGGTGTTGCATCTCTCCCGGGCATGCCCTGGGCTCTGCAGAGGTGCATAGAGGTGGGCAGAGGACACTTCCTGCCTCATTCTCTCCATGGCTACTGGTCAGGGATTGGCTCTGGCCCGGACTTCGTGTGTCTTCCATCCATGGACAGCCTGCCTCTGTGGATCTAGTTGGACTGGGTCTTGGGGCCTCTCTCACAGCCAAAACAGACTCTGCTTCTCCCCACAGAGCCCCAAAGGCTTCCTGGAGAGCTACGAGGAGATGTTGAGCTACGCCCTGCGGCCGGAGACCTGGGCCACCACGCGGCTGGAGCTGGAGGGCCGAGGGGTGAGTCCTTTGTCCTGAGTCCCCCGTGTCCTAGGGTCCCTCGCACCTGGGCAGGGAGGAGGTGCCTGTGCCAGCGCTGCCTTGATTCTGGGGCTCTGAGACGGCTCCATCCCTGCTATAAGCCCCCGTTCCTGCCCTGCCCCAGGCCCAGGCTGTGAGGGAGGCGGCTCCAGCTGCATCCCATTGCAGAAGGGAGGTGTGTCTATCCAGCCATGTGTTCCCACCTGGGCCCCACATCCACCCTCTCTGGCCTCAGTCTTCCTAGCTGGATAGTGGCCCTGCAGCTCGGCAGCCGGGCCTCAGAGTGCTGCCGCCCCCACAGGTTGTGTGCATGAGCTTCTTTGACATCGTGCTGGACTTCATCCTCATGGACGCCTTCGAGGACCTGGAGAACCCCCCATCTTCGGTGCTCGCTGTCCTGAGGAACCGCTGGCTGTCAGACAGCTTCAAGGAGACGGTGGGTGGCCACCCCCCTAAGCACACACGCTGACAGGACCACATGCGTCTGCCTGGACCCTACTTCCTTCCCTGGCTTTGGGCACCAAGGCTGGGCTCCCACCTATTAGGGAGCGGTCACCCCACTGGGCATGGTGCCACCGCTGTGACCCAGGGTGCCTGCCTGCTCTGGAGAAGCTTCCCAGGGGATCCCCTTGCTCTCGGCACTGGCCGAGCACCAGCGTGCTGTGTATTTCCCTTCTGCACAGTGGTTTCACTGAGGTAATTCTACTCATTCTGTGCTGTCATTCATTCTATTCAATGTGAATGCTTTAAATCAAGTTAAAATATGGGGGGAAAAAAGGAACAGCAGGAGAGCATTGAGCACAGGGCCCCTCAGGGCAGTCATTCTGTGTGGCATAGGTGTGGCTTGGAGGGGGCGGGGCTTGTGGTTTACGGGCGGTAACCATGGATACCCACTGTCATTGAAGTGAAGCGGGGATGCTGGGTCATGGCCATTTTACAGAGGAGGGATCTGAGGCCCGGAGAAGTTCAGTGGAAAGTCCAGGGGCCGCCGCTGTAAGGGTTGGAGTCAAGATCAGATCTAGGTATATCTGACTCCTAACTGAGGGCAGGGAAGCAGCAGAGTTCAGGTGGCTGAACCCAGCTTCCTGCTTGAGCTGGGTGTGACCTGGGGGTAAGGGCTTGGTCCCAGACCAGAGGATGGGTCATGTTAGTCTGACAACCTGGGGGGTCCCATTTTTGATTTAGGCCCTGGCCACAGCTTGCTGGTCGGTCCTGAAAGCCAAAAGGAGGCTGCTGATGGTGAGTGAGCTGACTGGGTGCCTGGGGAGTGCTGTGCAGGGACCCTGGGTGTGGTGCCCGGCTCAGCTGACCCTCCAGTTGGTGTGTGCTGGACCCTGGCCTGGGGGCCCCTCCTTTGGGTTGGCATTGGAGGCCTGGGATAGGGTGGGGTGGGCACAGGAGAAAGGCTGGTGCAGCGAGGTCTTGCTGAGCCCCCAGGCCCTGCTGCACCTTTTGGTCTCCATCCAGCACCAGCCACTTGTCTGCCATTACCTTTCCCTGGACCGAGAGGGCCACATAGATCTGCTTCATCCTTCCACCCTGGCCCAGCACAGAGCAGGCCATTGGGAAATGTCACAAGAGCAGTGGTGCTTGGCTCGGTAGAGGCGTGTAGGTAGGGGCAGGATGTCCTCAGATAACCGGGCTGTGGTTATCTGCACTCCCAGGCAGTGACTGGCTGTGCTATCTGGGCTGCAATCCACTGTTCCCCTCTGCCGGCCAGGCTCTGCTGCCCAGCTGATACCACTGCCACTGCCGCATGCTCTGGGCACTTCCTGTGCTGGGCCCACCCCTCTTGCAGCCCTCACCACAGCCCTGAGGTTGCCCCTGTTCTGCAGAGGTGAAAAGCAGGGCTTCAAAAGCTCCAGTCGCTGGCCCGGCATCACCCAGCAAGGATGTGAATGATCTGAGCTCGGAAGCAGAGCTCTTCATATGACCCCAGGGCCTGGGTCCTCACCCTGCCCCGGTACCAGCCCTCAGCCTTGCCGCCCTCCACAGGTGCCTGATGGCTTCATCTCCCATTTCTACTCCGTATCGGAGCACGTTAGCCCTGTCCTAGCCTTCGGCTTCCTTGGTCCCAAGCCTCAGCTCTCTGAAGTCTGTGCTTTCTTTAAGGTAAACAGGGAGCATTGGGTCTGCTGCTGCCGGCCTGGGCCCTGCCCCAGCTCCTGGGATAGGAACCCTGGGAGGTGCCAGGAGTGGAGGAAGGGCCTGGGCCTGTGTCTAGGTGCTGCCTGTTCCCCTGGGAGCCTGGCCCACGTGGGTCCAGAGGAGGCACCAGGAGGGCAGGAGCTGAGGACAGAAGGGACTGGGTTGGGGCTCTCAAGGCCAAGGAAGAGGCCTTGGATGGTCTAGAGGACCAGAGGCCCGACGCCAGCCCCGTCCTGCAGCACCAGATTGTGCAGTACCTGAGGGATATGTTCGACCTGGACAACGTGCGCTACACTTCGGTGCCAGCCCTGGCAGACGACATCCTCCAGCTGTCCCGGCGCCGCAGTGAGATCCTGCTCGGCTACCTGGGGGTGCCAGTGGCCAGCAGCATTGGCCTGAACGGTGTGCTGCCCCGAGAGAACGGGCCCCCAGAGGAGCTGCAGTAGTGGCAGGTGTGGGCTCTGGGAGGGCCTCTGGGCCTCGTTCACGTGGGTGACGGCAGAGAGAAGGCCGCCCCCTCCCCTCCTTTGGGTTGGCATTGGAGGCCTGGGTGTCTGTGGCCACCAGCAGTGGCAGAGTCCAGGCCATGGTGGCCAAGGGCACCTACCCTGACCTTGCCCCATTCTCCCAACCTCCATCAGCTGGGAATCCCCAAGTCCCGGGGGGCAAACTTCCTTGGAGAGGGATGGCACCCCTGGGGGCCCACATGACTACCCTCAGCTCTTCCTGGGGGAAGAAGAAGCTGGACCAGTGGCCTGTGGAGCCTGAGGGAGAGGACCATGTTGTGAGGAGAACTGGGATAGGCAGAGATGGGCTTCCCTGGGCGTGGGTCCCCAAGCTCAGGGCTGCCGATAAGTGGGACTGGGAGGGTGGAGGTGAAAGAGGGTGGCAGGGCTCTCTGGTGAGGGTATGTGGGCTGGACCGTCTCAGAATCCAGGCATCTGGCTGGTCAGTCCTGACGGCCCACCACCACCCTAGACAGTTTCCACCTCCAAATGGAGGGTGGGGACCACCTTGGTGGGCGGCACCTGGACGGGTCTGCTCTCCTGCCATGTCTGGGTGGGTTACAGGCCCTTGACAAACTCAAGGACTAAACCAGGATGCTGCCATTCCCTCGCCCTGCCAAAGACTGTCATTTCTCTTCCCACCTCTGCCACCACCACCGATGGAGGAGGTGGGGCTGGTCCTCCCGCCCCTGCCCCCTCCCTCAGTGAGCCCGGAACTCCCTGGCTGGTGCTAGGCACTGAGCTGGAGGCTCTGCGGTCATCTCAGGCCTGTCACCTGTGCTGCTGTTGGTGGCGGCCCCAGGAGTGAGGGGCCCCCAGGACCACGTTGGGGGAGGTCAGAGGATGTAGGCCGCTGGACCAGCATTTGGACGAAAAATATACCTGGCACTTTGCCTTCAACTCGACGCACAAACGCTCTCAAGCCGTGGAGTGGCGGGGGGCCCGCCTCCCCACTGGTCCTGCAGAGGAAGGCTGGGTGGCCTTTGCCCCCACATCACAGGATTTCTGTCAGCCCTGCAGACCCAATTCTAGTGTTTTCACCTGGGGTGGGATGTTTTATTTATTGCCTTAACACTTTATTTTGAGGTCTGCCCCTTTCCAGGTTGGGAAACCCAGGAGAAAAACTGACTCCTGGTTGTCCACACTCTGGAGCTGGGCCTGGTTCCTCAGACCGGGATCCCTCTGCCGTGAATGGCAAAGGGGTCCCAGGGGTGGGGTGATCTCATCCACCTGGGGCAGGAGGGAGGAGGGTGGGAGATGGGTGATGCTGGGCATGGCCCATCATCTCTGAGCCCACCCCTGTCCCCTGCTTGGTCGCTCCTGCCCCCCAGCCTGTAGGACCGTGTGCACTAACCACAGTTCTGGCTCCACACCCACCTCTCCTGGGTGGGAGGACCGGGGTGGCCCTCCTTCATCCTGACATTCCGTTCGTTTGCACTTCCCCTTCGCTATGAATGTAATCCTGGGCCTGGGCCCCAGCTGCTCTGATTTGCTCCCGAATCGCACAGAAATGGCATCTTCATTTTGTCTTTGTTTACACGTCTACGCACTTGCCTCTGGCACTTGATTTGCTGAGCTTCCAACTTTTGTATGGTAGAGCGTATGTGCATCGACTCTGGGTCAAATAAATGATTTCCTTCTATGTTGCTGTGCACATGTGGCCGTTACTTCCTAGAGACCTGCTCTTTGGGGTACTATTTGGGGGTGGTGCCAGCAGGGCAAAGGTGGAGGGCAGCCCGGTGGGGACTGTAAGCCCACTTGGGGTCGCATGGCAGTCTGGCAGGGCCATGTGTCCCTAGGCAGGGAGGGTCCTGGTGAAGGTGAGGAGAGCGCCTGTGCAATGCTGAAGGGACAGATGTGGATGGGCAGCCTGGGCGTGGATCTAGCTCGGGTAGCTTCTTGGTGAGGTCGCTTTTCTCTGGGCCTCAGTGTCCACATCTCTAAGATAAAGGCATTGACCCGGCAGGTGGTATAGACTCAGCCTCTGGGTCACTGTGAATGCCTGAGCTGGTGAGAACCAGAGTGAGGGGCTGGACCAGGAATGGAGCAGATCTGAGCCTGCCAGCTCTTCAGAAGTTTTCACAGGCAGCGGGACATCACAGTTTATTTGAAAGGAACAGTAGTCGCCTGTTATGGGCTGGGGGTATGTTCCGAGACCCCCAGTGGATGCCTGAAACAGGAGACAGTACTGAACCCTATATATATACTATGTTTTTTCCTATATGTACATACCAATGATAAAGTTTAATTTATGTAAGTTAGGTAGAGTAAGAGACGAACAGCAACAATAATCAAATGGAACAATTACAACTATTCTGTAATAGAAGTTATGTGAATACGGTCTGTCTCAAAATATCGTACAAATTTAATGTCTTTTCCATCTTAACCAATCACTTATCATCCACTGTGGCTGAAACTTTTGCAGCTTGAGGTAGGACAGCAAAACTAGCTTGGATTTCTTTCTCTTTCATAATTTCTTGGATAAAAGGTTCATCTTTACTGTAGATCTTAGCAACCTCAGTATATGGTGTTTTCCCTTTTCTTATTAAATCAAGAACTTTCACCTTTTCACTTAAAGGAAGCATTTAACTGCTTTTCTTTGGCATATCCAAATTGCCAGCATCACTACTCTTTTTTATATTTTATTTTTATTTATTTTTTGGTGGGGGAGGTAATTAGATATTTATTTGTTTATTAGTAGCATCACAACACTCATGCTTGAGGGCCATTATTTAGTTAGATGAGGGTTACTCAAACACAAGCACTGTGATACTGTGATAGTCATTCTGATAACCCAGGTGGCTATTAAGTGACTAAAGAGCAGGCAGCGTATCCAGCATGAATGCACTGGATAAAGGGATGATTCACATTCCAGGTGGGGACAGAGTGGGATGGCTCGAGATGGCACGAGATTTCATCACGCTGCTCAGAACGGTGCACAATTTAAAATGTATGAGATTGATACGACGTTGTAAACTGACTACACTTCAATAAAAATATAAAAAGAAAAGAAAGAAAATGCATGAGCTTACTTCTGAAATTTTCCACTTAATATTTTTGGACTGTGGTTGACTGAGAGGAACTGCAGTCTTGGAAAGCAAAACTGTGGAGAAGGGAGGGACAACTGTACTTAAAAAAAAATTTCACTTTGAAAACTTTAAATGTCCAGAAGTGTTAAAAAGGAAACCGTATAAAGAACACCCATAAAATCAACACTTTGAGTCAGTAATAAACATCTTTCCATATTATTTCATGTATATAGTTCTTTTCTAAAATATTTTAGGTTATGTTTTAGGCTTGTACTTCCTTCCTAAACTACTTCAATAAGCAGGTCTTGAAAATAAGGTAGTTCTCCGGCATAACCACAATACCATAATCACACCTTAAAAATGATCAACAGCTCTCTAATATCTGCTGGGATTCTGAAAAGAAGCTTCTCTCAGCCAACTGGAAATGGACTCCAGTTCCACCTAAAAGGAGGATAGACGTCTGAATCTTTCCCTTACCGATTCTAGACACAAGCTGATATGATTACCTCCAATGCTGGCAGATAAGTGTTTGGTTTAAACAGCTTTATAAAGGTATGATTTGTATGCCAGAGAATACACTCACTTTAACCATTTGTTTTTAATCACTTAACAGAAGTGTGTACCTGTTACGACAATATCGTTCGAGTATTTCCATCACCCCCAAAAGCCCTCTTGTGCTCAATTGTAGTGAATCCCCCAGCCCCCAGGTCATCACTAATTTACCTTCTCTCAAGATTTGCCTTTACTGGACATTTCCAGGAGATGGAACCATCCAATATATGGTCTTTTGTGGTTGGCTTCTTTACACAGAATAATGTTTTTGAGATACATCCATTTTACGGCATGTATTGGTATTTTATTTCTCTGTTGCTGAATAGCATTCTGCAATGAGTTTTACCTTTTCTCTTTTGAATACCACTATGGACTTGCAGGTTTTTTTGTTCGATATTTACAATCAGTTACAATCAGTTTTCTGATGCTCATTTGGTCACATATTTGACAAGCAGGAGACCCTTTGAGCTGTCTCCTGGGTCTTTAAGACACCCCCCGGCCCCAAATCAGACTTTGAGCACGTCCTTTCTAGCATAACAACTCCCTGGAAGCTCAGAATCCCAGAGACAGAGCTGGGAAGGCCCTCAGGGGAATCCTGGCCCATTTATTTCTGTGGCGGACAGTGGACTATTAGAATCACAGCCCCAACAATCATGCCTCTTGGAATCCATGTCCTTGTATAGTTCTGTCCCATGTCAGCTCTGACCTTGGCCATGTGACCTGCTTTGGCCAGTGCGACAAGAGTGACGTGATGCAAGCAGAGGCTTGGTGAGCCCTGGTGCACTGGGACTTGCCCTCTTGCAGAGTGTTTGTAGCCATGAAAACCTTGGCTACTCTGCTGGGGAAGCCACATGGAGGAGAATGTGGCACCCTGGCCAGCAGCCCCACCTAAGTGCCAGATTTGAGGGAGGCCCCTTGGACTGTACAGGCCTAGTCAAGTCACCAGCTGCATGAGTGACCCAGCTGAATTGAGCTCTGCCAAGTGGCAGATCTTGAACAATAAAATTGTGATGGTCTAGGGTGGGGGTATAATTAACTCAGAGGCAGAATGTATGCCTGGTGTGCACGAGGTCCTGGGTTCAATTCCCAGCACCTCTGTTAAGGGAAGATAGATAGATAGATAGATAGATAAAATTTTAAAAAATGGTGATGATCTTAAGGCACTAGGCTTTGGGCTGGCTTGTTACACAGCAGTGGGTAACTGACTCCAGCCCCCTTGTTGATGAGAGGGAAATTGAGAGGGGAGGATGACCTCCCCAGTGCATACAGTAGTTTCTGGCAGCCCCAGGATGGACATTCATGTCTCCTGAGTCCCGCCCAATGCTGTGTCCATGCCCGATGTCCTTCCCCTTGGAGTTGTTTGAGTTTACATTGGGCCACAAACAGCTGTAGGGCTTCTGCCCCATCACCCACAAGGCTGATTCTCATGCAGCGTGAAGCGGGGTGGGTTGTGGAGGATAAGATCCATAGTGTTGTCTCTGGCCCACGATGTGGTTCACATCAACTGCTCAGTAAACAGTCCTTTCAATCACAATAGAAATGGCTCCCAGGGTGCGCAGACAAATGCAACAGGACAGTTGAAGAAGGATCATTCGTTTGTATTTCCTGTGCACCTACTGTGTGCCAAGCACTGTGCCAGATGCCACACAGGCAGCGGCAGAGTGCGCTGGCGCCGGCTCCCACCCCATCTGCTGACTGCATCTCTCCCTAACTGCTTGTTCAGAACCACCATGGTGGTGGCTAGAAAGTGGCCACAAAAGAATATTTACACCATGGCAGTCAGCACATTCCACAAACCAGGGGCACTTGCGGCCCACGGGATTGAGCCAATGTGTCTCGAAGACTTGGCCCCATGATGTTTGGAACTCTAGGCCCTGTCTTCCAGAAGCTTCTACTCTGACACACAGACCATGAGTGGCTCCTCTCAGAGGTTTTGAAGCCAAAACTGTCACTCCTACTTTGAGATCGTCTGTCTTTCTTACTGGCATCTTTGGGATCCAGGAGCAACACGACCCCCATGGGAATGGGAGATTCTCCAGGGCAGCGTCCTTCCTCCTCCCCACCTTTCTCTCTTCATCACTGACACATACACATGGTCTGGCACCACTGAGGCGCTCAAATAGTCCCTGAAGTGAATGAATGAACCTCTAATCTAGGGGGTGGCAGCTGACACATTTCGGGGAACCACCCCTAGAGAAGGGAAGAGTTTCCTCAGGACTTTGAGCACAAGCCTGTGTGGCTGGGGTGTGGTGCACAGACGTAGAAGACTTCGTGCCTCTAATCTGGGGGCCGCCCTGTCTGTGAACTCTCTGCCAGAGGAGAGGTCAAAGTGAAAGGCCGGCCCTGCCTGGGACAGCTGGGGCTTGTCTGAGGACTCCTCCGGGCAGTGGGAGGAGGCAGCCTGCAGTTTGGTTGATGGGATGCAGGGTGGTTCAGAAGGTGGTCCTGCCTATCAGGTAGATCTGGATTCAACCCTGACTCTGCCACACACTAGCCAGGTGACAGTCAGGCTCTGAGGTGGGACACCCAGAGCCTTACTGTCCTTAGCTACAAAGTGGGCACATTAAGAGCTGCCTCGCGGCTTGTAGTGGAGATAACACGAGTGACTAAGGATGGAGCACACCCCAGGATGCTCAGAGTGATACCAGGTGCATCACTGGTCCACCCGTCAGCTCACAGAGGAAATGAGTGGCTCCTGCAGCCTCGTAGGGGTCTCCTCACAGCATTCATGCCTGCACCGCCCAGCTCCTTGGCTTCACGGCAGGTCTGAACTGTCATCTTTGCCATCTTGTGGGACCCTGCAATGGCACAACTCCATCGGAAAAGCATCTACGCGTACACCAAAGGTATGCACTAAGATGTTCCTAGCAGCACTATTCCTCAAACCCCAGACCTGGAAACATCCCAATATCTATCAAAAGTTGAATGGAAAATAAACTATGATGTGTTTACGCCACGGAATACTAACAGCAAGAGTGAATTACAACTAGAGGCCACAGCATGGACAAAAATTTCACAAACATAATGCTAGTGAAAGGAGAAACACGCAAAAAGTACATAC